ATGGAGGATGAAGGGCAGAGAGTAAGTTTTATTTGGGTAGCTCTGTAAACCTCCAGAACAAAAAGCTGTCCTGTGGAAACAAAGCTCCTGCACATTGGCAGGGTCCTACTCTGGGCACTGTCATCAGGAGCACAGGATCATGGGAAGCTGTGCCGAGAGGTGGCTCATTTGTACCTGATCTGTGGTCATATTTTCAATGTGGTGTTATATTTTTAATGAAATCAACAGGGAAATCGATCTAACCTTGGAGGCATATATGTATAATCTCTACACATATCCACCATCCACATGAAACAATGCAGCTTGTAATTATATTTTGAAATTTAAATCTGTCACAATTTGTTCCTGATGACTGAGTAAAAGGTTAGTGGAATGTAAGCACCACATGGATATTTACTTGACTTTTTGTCTTCAAAACACTCAACTGAAAGTTCATTCCTGAAAGTTGAGCTGCACCCAGGGCTCTTAAATGCTGTGGAGTGTGGGCGATCAGATTCAAAATCTGGTTCTATCAACCTGCAGGGAGTCACTAAATCATACAGGGATGTGGTGACAATGCTGAGTCCTCCTAGTTATGGGTGTAATGATGGTTCTGGGGAAGGGGGGGTTGGTGTTGGTAGTTATTATGATCCTAAGAATATGACTACTCTCATTTCTCATTAACTCAGGGGAAAATGATAAACCTAACAACCTTTCACATAAAAAACATATAAAGGGTCTATGTGGAAAAACTCACATCTAACATCAATCTCAATGGTAAAAAGACTGAAAATTTTTCTCCTAAGATCAGGAATAAGTCAAAGATGTCTACTTGTGGTAGTTTTACACAATAGTACCAGTTTTTTTTTTTTTTTTCCAGAGCAATTAGGACAGCAAAAGAAATAAAGGGCATCCTTTATTTCAGAGGTAGGACTATCTCTATTCACAGATGATGAGAGCTTTTATGTAGAAAACTCTGAATAATGCACAAAACAATCTTTTGGAACTAAATCAGTAAAGCTGTAGCATGCAACATCAACACAGAAAAGAATTTGTTGTACTTTTATCCTCTAGCAATGAACAATCTAAAAAGGAAACTAAGAAAACAATTCTATTTTTATTAGTATCCAAAAGGATAAAACATCCAGGAGTAAAGTTAACCAAGAAGAATAAGACTCACACACTAAACATTATAAGACACTGCTCAGAGAAATGTAAAAAAAGATATAAATGGAAAGACATCTTATGTTCATGAATTGGAAGACTGTTAAGATGACAATGCACTCCAAAACAATATACAGATTCAATGCAACCCCCAAGAGAATTCTAGTGGTGTTTTTGGTGGAAATGGAAAGAAAGATACTAGAATTCATAAAGAATTTTAAGTGACTCAGAATAGTCAAAACAATATTGAGAAGGAAGAGTAAAATTGGAGGACTCATACTTCCCAATTTCAAAACTTACTACAAAGCTTTAGTCGTCAAAAAATGTGGTACTGGCATAAGGATAGAAACAGATCAATGGAAAGGAGGGCTGAGAGTCCAGAAATAATCTCTCATTCCTATTTTCAGTTGATTCTTGATAAGGTTGTCAAGACCATTCAATGGAGTGATAATAATTTTCCCAACAAATGCTGCTGGGAAAACTGGGTATCTACATGCAAAGAATGGAACTGATCCTACACTATTTATAAAAATTAACCCAAAATGGATGAAAGACTTAAATTATAGAGACAAAACTATAAAATTCATATTTGTACCTTGGAGTAAATCCTCGTGAGCTTGGATTTAGTGACACCAAAAGCACAAGCAACAAAAAGAAAAATAGATAAATTTGATTTCATTAAAACCGAAAACTTCTGTGCATGCAAGGCTGTCAAAGGAATAAAAAATATCCCACAGAACAGAAGAAAATTGCAAATCTTATGTATGATAAAGGCCTGATATATAAAAAGATATAAAGAAAAGAAAACTCAAATTTTTTTAAATGGCCAGAGGACTTGAATAGATGTTTCTTCAAAGAAGGTACACAAAAAGACAATAAATCAATTGTCATTAGTCATTAGGGAAATACAAATCAATACTATACCACTTCATACCTACTGGATGGCTACAATGACAAAACAAATGAGGCTAACAAACCGATCAAGATATGAAGAAACTGGAACATTCGTATGTTGCTGGTAGGACTGTAAATTCATACACCTGTTGTGGAAAATAGTCTAACAGCTTCTCAACACATTAAACATAGAATTGCCATATGACCCAGTAATTCCACCCCTAGGTATATACTCAAGAAAACTGAAAACAGTTACTCAAATGTTCTTGTATATGAATATTAATAATATTATTCATAACAGTCAGTGTGTGGAATCAACCCAAGTCCATCAGCAGACGAATGGATAAACAAAATGTGGTATATCTATACAATGGAATATTATCCAGTCATAAAAATGAAGTTTTGATACATACTGCAACATGGATGAACCTTGAAAATATCATTTAAGTGAAATGCCAGGCACAAAAAGGCAAATATTGTACAATCTCATGAATATGAAATGTCTAGAATAGGCAAATTCATAGGCATATGAAGTATATTAGAGGTTATCAGGGGCTGGGGGTAAAGGGAATGGAATTTCTTGCTTAATGGGCACAGAGTTTAAGTTTGGAGTAATGAAAAAATATTGGAAAAGGACAGTGGTAATGGCTGTACAACACTGTGAATTAACTAATTAATTCCACTGAATTTATACTAAAAATGATTAGAATTGTGGGGCTGGGCAGTTGGTGGGCTAGTAGTTAAAATGCTGTTTGGGATACCCACATCTCATTTCAGCACGCTTGTGTTCCAGTCCTGGTTCTGCTTGTGATTCCAGCTTTCTACTAATGGGCATCCTGGGAGGCAGCAGTTGATGGCTCAAGCACTCTGGCTCCTGCCACTTACATTAGAGACCTGGATTGCATTCTAGGCACCTGACTTTGCCCTGGCCCAGTCCTGGCTGTTGTGGGCATTTAGAGAATAAAGTAACAGATGTGAGATCACTCTACCTGGGTCTCCCTTTCAATCAAAATGAAAAAAAAATAATAATAAAAATAATTGGGGTTGTGTTTGGCCTAGCAGTTTGGATGCCCACATCCCCTACATGCCCACATACCAGGGAGTGCCTGGTTCAAGTCCCGGCTACTCTACTTCCAATTCAGTTTCTTGCTAATGTACCCTGGGATTCAGCATGTGGTGACTCATGTACTTTATTTTTTAATTTAATTTTATTTTTTATTTTTTTTGACAGGCAGAGTGGACAGTGAAAGAGAGAGAGAGAAAGGTCTTCCTTTGCCGTTGGTTCACCCTCCAATGGCCGCTGCTGCCGGCGCACTGCGCTGATCCGAAGCCAGGAGCCAGGTGCTTCTCCTGGTCTCCCATGGGGTGCAGGGCCCAAGCACTTGGGCCATCCTCCACTGCACTCCCGGGCCACAGCAGAGAGCTGGCCTCAAAGAGGGGCAACTGGGACAGAATCCGGCGCCCTGACCAGGACTAGAACCCGGGGTGCCGGCGCTGCAGGCGGAGGATTAGCCTATTGAGCCGTGGCGCCGGCCGACTCATATACTTTAGTCCCTGCCAGCCACATAGGAGAACTGGATTGAGCCTTGACTCCTGGGCTTCGGCCTGGCACAGTCTGGCTGTTGTGGGCATTTAGGTTGTGAAACAATGGATGGAAGAGCTTCCTCCACTCCCGTTTCACATACAATGAAAATAAATGAATAAAATTTAAAAATGGTTACAATGATAAATTTTATGATTGATATATATAGGGTCTTAAAAAAGTTCATTGAAAATATATGAAAATATACATTATCTTTTAACTATATTCTTCCATGAATTTTTTGAAACCCCCTTGGCATTTTACCCTCCCCCCACCCTCACACACAAACTAAGATAAAGGGTCAGAGTTTCTACATCCTCAGGACCAGGAAATTAGAGGCCTCAGTAACGCCTGACTTACATGACAATAAACTCTGCCACAGACTTGAGTTTAGAAGATCAGAGTGTAAGTCTTTTGGGTCCCCACAAAAGTCATTTCCCATACAGCCAGTAGTAAAATAAAAATCATATAAAGAAACCACTCATGTACATGAGGAAAAGAACAGTGAAAGAAACTAGGAAAAAGCAGTTAGTAAAAATAAAAGCTAAGATTAATTAGTAACTAGACACTAGTAAATAGGATGAAAATCAAAAAGCTTATTCTTAAAAAAGATCTATGGAGAAATCCTTTGCAAAGCTAATTAAAAAGTAGAGAAAGCAAAAATGGCAAGATCAATAAGCAAACAGAAGACATAAACTCAGACAGTAACACCGAGCGATAGAATTATGAAGTAACAGAGCACACACAAGTGTGTGGCAGCAGATGTGAAAACAGGAATTAAGGGTTTCCACCGGGTAAGTTATGATCAAAACTGACCCAAGTACAAGGAGAAAACTGGGAGAGGCTAGAAAAGTGATTTTAAGATACACAATGGTGAAAGCCGCCAGGTAATGCTGGATCAACGTCAAACGTCCTCTCAAAAGCATATCTGACCTCCAGAGAAAGTAAAGGAGATTCCCAGGAGCGGATGGAATGCAGTTGACAACCAGAGGAGCAAACCGGAGCTGGGGCTGAACGGGATTTAGAATCCAATTCGACCGGCAGCACAGGAGCTACACCCAGAGGCCAGGGGCAGGGGCAGGGGCAGGGGCAGGGCTGAGTGACTGCCAGGGCTGGGGGGACCGCGTCTGTGGTCTCCTTTCCATCCCATCTCATACCTGCCCCAGGAGAAACGACTGTCTTGGCTTTTGTGTTTGTGTCTATAAAACTTTGTTTCTGTTTGTTTTGTTTTAACAAAAACTGGTGTAAAGTCTTTCCTGCCTTGTGTTTTTGATTCCATATTGTGTTTATAAGAAAAAAATTAAACTTGTGTTTACTGATAACCACAAAGAATAACAGACATAATGAACGAATCTTCAATTAACAACAAAGAGAAACAAAATATTGTAATCATCTATATATTGTAAATGTACTTTAGGGAAAAACACAAAGCAACAAAAAACTTCAACTTCTCTCCCACCTTTCTCCTAAACTCCCACCCTTATCCCCTGCTAAGCACTCTTAACTTCTAGACATCAAAGAACTTAATGCTAAAAGGCGGAAAAGACGCCCAGAGCGGATTCCCGACCTTCCCCAGAGGCGGGCCCCTCAGCTGGAAAGCCTGGGGAGGCCCAGGGTGGTGGCCGGGGCCGGCAGGAGGGCCATCCCCGCTGGGACAGGCGCGGAGGGGTGCAGAGGTGGAAAGCAGCACCCCCCACAGTGGGGGAGCTCAAAATGAAGCCCCGGTGGCAGCGGGAAGCACACCGGAGGGCCTGGGAAAGGCGGCCCGGCCGCCGCCGCATCCTCGTGAGCTGAGGCCTCGCTGCTTGGCAGGCTGCCCATCCTGCTGCGATTGTAGAACCACACTTGGACCAGGTCCTGCTGCAGCCGCAGGTGGCCCGCGATGCGGCTGATTTGCTGGGGTGTGGGCTTGGGGCACTGCAGGAACAGTCTCTCCAGGTTGTTTCCGATCCGCCTCTCCCTGCTGGCGCGTCTCCGCTTCCGGCTCTGCTGCAGGATCATCTCCATTTTGCATAAGCCCAGAAGGTTCTTCGCATCCACCTCCTCCAGCCACATTTTCAGCAGCGGGCGAAGCTTCCACATGTTGGCCAAGCTCAGCTGCTGGGCCTCGAAGCGGCAGATGGTGGTCTGGCTGAGCACCTTCCCGAACAGCGCTCCCACGGCGAACCCCACGTCGGCCTGTGAGTAGCCCAGGGTCAACCGCTTCTGTCTCAGCTCCTGGGCCAGCTGCTTCACTTCTTTCTGAATGGCTGAGACGTCCTCTGGCAGCGCTAGCTTCGGGACGCACCGCAGGGCTATGTAGGGCCCAGGGCCGGCGCCCTCAGATGGACTCCAGAAGCGGGCCCCAGCCTCGCCAGCTCCCAGCCAGGACCCGCAGGGCACCATTCCGCCCTGGAACTCGTACAGTGGGGGTCCCAGGGGCACACCCCAAACCTCAGGGCCTGGACAGACCCCCGGCCTGATCACCGGCACGACCCCTGGCCAGACCACCAGCTTGCCAGGGCCCGCCTGGGCGCTCAGCCAGGTCGGAGGGTCAACCCGCACCGGTACTGGCCCTCCGAGGCCACCCCCGCCAATGCCCGGGAGGGGGCAGAAGTTTGAGGGCCCGTGTCCAGCCATGGGGCAGGATGGCACCCCAGCCGGAGTCTGGTAGGAACTGAAGGCTCTCGAGGCTTCGGAACAGCCACCTCCTCGCCCTCGAGCCCCGCCCCCCACTGGGCGTTGCAGGCAAGAGAAACACGCCGTGGGTGTGTCTGAGTGGGGGTGAGGAGACCTGGTGGACCCACTGGCAACTCCTGGAGCCCTCGGGATAGGAGAGTGGGTCCCTACCCTGACCTCTGCGTCAGCTCCCAGCAAAGCCTGCCTCTTGGGCTTTGCACTTCCAAGCTGTCAGAGGTCCCCTAGTCTGTTTCCATCCTTTCCCTGAATGGAACCCAGGTGTTCACTCCCAGCCCTTCAGAAACTCGGCCGTCTAATCCCGCCCGGCTCCTCCACAGCCCCTGAACTACACTCTCTCTTCCAAGATATTCACTAAACGTCTGCATACCAAATGCTGCTGGGACCACATCTCAATTCATTAACTGTTCCCTCACTGCTACCTTATGGCCACAAGCACGGCCAGCAGTCTCTCCTTGCACAGCCTCAATGCCTGTGCTCAGAGAACCCTAGGCATCTCATTAACATCAGCTTACCCCCTCGGACTCAGCCCACGACTCCACACTCCGCCAGACTCCACTCCTTCCTCAGGCATGTTCTTCCCCCACCAGCCCTGCAAGTCTTTTGCTGTCTGTCCTGCCTCAGTCCCGTGGTCTGGAATTTCTTCACCTAACATAACTGGGTGTCATCTCTTCCCCACTGAGGAAGTCCCTGCCACAGCATCTGGCGTCACAGCGCCTCTCCTATTCGAGACCCTCGGATCTGAATTAGCTCTGATGCTCCTCTTGAGCCTGACTCAGCACCCAGTCCTGTGCTTTGAGTGAAGAAAAGGAAGGAGGGAGGGGGAAGAGCCAGTCTGAGTGACCCCAGGTTCAAAGCTTCCAAGGAGGAAGAAGACAGAGCCGTGGCTGGACAATCCCAGCCTCTCGTCCTTTCATCCTTTAACCCAGCCACAAGATGGCTCTGCCTCCACCCACGTCTACTGAGCCCACTCTTGAAGTCTCTGGGGGAATTTCCAATTGTTAAATCCAATGCCCTTTTAAAAACCCTCAACCCAAGAAACTTCTCATCAGTACCTGATAATGCTGACTCTTCTTGCTCTTTCTTGTTAACTTATGTGAAATATTGGTAATAGCCAAATCTGCATTTCAGCTAGCGCCGACTTCTAATTTCTATCTCTGTATGTTCCACAGCCCCAAATCACATTCATTATCTGTGCTTCTAATCCCACCTCTTCCTCCAGGGACCCCGGAGCTGCTTAACAATATTATCACCACTTACAGTCACCCAGGCTTAAACCAGAGGTTGTTTTTGACTGTCCCCTTCCTCTACAGGGCATTAGATCAGACTTTATAAACTGGATCTCCTAAAACATCTGAACTCCATCATCTCCACTCTAGCCTCATTTATTGTTTTGATCTGGCTACATTAATTTATCAGCTGCACTATCACAATAACCTTATAATTAACTTCTTGCGCTTCTCCTTTAAGTTCATCTTGCATGCTGCTGCTAGAGACAATTTTCCAAAAACTCAACCAAAGACAAATCTAATCACATCAGTTGTCTCTTAATGAGCCTTCAAAATCTACTCCCTTTCCACCCCATCAGCAATGCGGGCATTCAAATTCCTGAGCATGGAACCCTGGCTTTCACCATTTGGATCCTTCCTTCTCTACAGCCTCATCCACCCTCACCCCATGCCATCTTGCTCCAAGCACTGACGATGCCATTATGTCACCTGTTCTGCCTGTGTTCATGCTGTTCCTTCTGCGTGGAATGGCTTCTCCTACTTCTTGGTCTTATTTTCCCTATCATTCATGATTATACTCAAATATTCTCTAATCAGGGAGGACATTTCTGACCATCTTGTTTAAAACAACATCACTTTTGATGAAAGGTGGAAGTACCACTATATTCCTATAATGATATAAAGGAAATATATGAAACTTGTATAACTTAAATAAAATATATAATTAAAAAAGAAAGTTTAAGACCAGTGAGTGGGGTCTATGCCATACTTTTTTGAAATTGAAATGGTTTTTGATAATTTTATTGAAAATAGTGAGCAGGCAACTTAAGAGGCATTGAAGTAGAAAGCATGGGTCGCTTGTTTGTCCCATTTCCTAGGGATCCAGCTGCCAACTGCCATGTTACTTTCCTTCCTTCACAGACAGAAACTCATGTTGTTTCCCATGCAACTCCCAGCAAATAAATGAATTTAAAAACATTAAAAAAACATTGCTTGTTGCCTTTTCTTAACATACATTACTTTTTGGTATAGCATACATCAGCAACTAATATTATTTACTCGTCTATCTGTTTATTGTCTGCTTTTCTCCTGATAAGAGGACAGGGACAGCATCTAGTTAGCTCCTGTGGCTACAGTGCCTACAGCAGTGCCTGGCACACATAAGACTCAGAGTAATCATTTACTATGTAATGAAAGCTTGAGGAACTTTCAGTTACCTTTATTTATTATCATTTTTTTTTTTTTGCCAGGCGGAGTTAGACAGTGAGAGAGAGAGACAGAGAGAGAGAGTTATAGACAGTGAGAGAGAGGCAGAGAGAAAGGTCTTCCTTCTGTTGGTTCACTCCCCTAATGGATGCCAAAGCCGGTACTGCGCCGATCCGAAGCCAGGAGCCAGGTGCTTCCTCCTGGTCTCCCATGCGGGTGCAGGGCCCAAGCACTTGGGCCATCCTCCACTACCTTCCTGGGCCACAGCAGAGAGCTGGATTGGAAGAGGAGCAACTGGGACTAGTACCCAGCACCCCAATGGGGACTAGAACCCAGGGTGCCGGCACCACAGGGGGAAGATTAGCCAAGAGAACCATGGTGCCGGCCCTATTAGCATTTTTAAAATTAAATTTTTTTGAGAAGCAGAGAGAGAGAGAGAGAGAGAGAAATGCTCCTATCCACTGGTTCACTATGCAAATGCTTGCAAAGGCTCCCGGCTGGGATCAAAGCCGAAAGGCTGTGCAATACAGGTCTCTCACGTGGGCAGCAGGAACCCAATTTACTTGAGCCAACACTGCTGCCTCCCAGAATTTGAAGTAGTAGGAAGCTGGAGCCAGCAGCAGAGCCAGATATTGGAACCCAGGTACTCTGATATGATACATGGGTGTCTGAATCAGTGCTTTAACTGTCAGCCTAAACACCTCCCTCCAGCATTCTCCCCACTCCCAACACATTACCTTTAAGACCCAATTTAGATGTCACTTTTTGTTAAGTTTTCCCTTGGGCAGAGTTTGTACTGCTTTTGTGATATATTTCTTGTATTTCATATAAGCTTTTATTATAGCATTATCAGTAGGATTTATTTGCTGCCTCTGTCTCTTCAATTAGGCTATGAGATATATAAGGCATGCATGTGGGAGTAAAAATCCTAGAGCATAATAGAATGCTGACTGATACAGTGCTCAATCAATGCTTGCCGAATGACTGACTGAAGTTTTGCCTTTACAATTTTGGGAGTAAAGTCCATTTAATTCCCTTTTAACTGTGAGAAACTTGATCTTCCCAGCTGTCTCATCATCTTTTCATTTTTGTACTAGACTAAGGCCCTTAAACAACTCTTCCTAGAGGGGGTAGTACCTTGAGACCTAATCAAACTCAACATGACAGGTCACTAGGTTGTAGACATGGCCTTGAAGCAACGGTATAGGGAAAAGAATCTGGAAATAAACTGCCATCTCTCCAGGCTGTGCATTTGATTATTTGTCTGTATCTCCATTTCACCTCCTGCTAGAATGTGTGCTGGCCACAGGCAGGGTTCTTGTCTACCTTGTTCAGTGTTCAGTCTTCAGAACTTGGCATCTAGTCGTAAGTCAAGACATACTTGTTTAATATTCAATAAATGAAACTTGATGGCATTAATGGTGATAAAACTTCCATATTTTCTTTTAATTAGCTTTCAATATGACAGTCTATGAAAAAGAACTTACAATATATAAATTTCACTTGAGAATAGATTTTTTTTGGTATCTTTTCTTTCCAAGTGTACCTATATGATATTTTTCTCAAAATCCCAAAACAAACCGGTGTCTGCTAAACAGAATGAAAGTTGATCATATAGAGGCATACAGGAGACAGCAAGTAAACATACATGGGTACTTCAGAAAGTCGTGGAAAAGGAACTGAAGGATAAGCTTACTGTCAACAATAGCTGAATAAAAATGTTTTCAGCAAATTAGAAGAAAGCAAGTTCCAGTGAATGGGAGCAAAGCTCTTTTTTGATGAACTGAATTTAAAACACAGTAGCTAAAAAAATATGCTAAATTAAAAAAAAATAAGCTATATTAACTTGATGTTTTTTTAATTAACTTGGGTTCCCTCAATTAAGGCTTTCTTTGTTCTTGGGCCCACAGATCTGCTCACGTGTGTATTCCCTGGTTTATGCATACGTGCTGCCATAAAGAAAAGCCTGTTTCCTTACAGGAAGTCTTGGCATCTTCTTATAGGTAAATTTGAAGTGCGAAGGAAATGGGGTGGTTGGAGAAAACAGGCGGGAGTGTATCTCGGGGCAGCAGTAGTAAGATCGGGGAAGGCAGCTGAGGGGAAAGCCCAAGACAACCAGCACTGTTTGGGCTGCAGTCTTGAAAGGCTAATCCATCACCTTCAGCAAATACAGGGACTCCGCAGGAAGTGATTAGATTACAATATAAGAATCAGGCCAGAGATTGGATATTGGATTAAGATGGCGGAGTAGGGAGGGAGCTTGCTACTCAAGTCTAGGAGAAGATAGTTTAAAAAAGTGGAAAGAGTGCAGTCTCAGGGAATATTTAAGGAGATAACAGCAGAGGAAACTCTACATAAATTGGAGGAACACAGTGCATCTATGTGGAGGGGGAAAACAATCTATAACACAGCACCAGCCCTTTTCTAGGGAAGCAAAACCAACAGCCAGTTTCCACTAATGGTGAAATTCAGGAGATGGCAGAGGCAGTTGGTAACACAGGTCCTTGAGGGCTTGGTTCAAGTTCCATCTCTTTGGGGAGCCTCTGGACCACAATGATTTCCCTCAGATACATTTGTGACCTTAAACAATTGGAGTTTCATGTCTTAGCTCTCCAGATAGGAGACAAGGAACCTCTCCAAAGGATATTATAGATATCACTTATTTTGTACTTAGATGCCACAGAATGTGCTAACGCATGAGTTTTCCACAGTCAGAGCATGACTATTGTTCAGTGTATGAAAACACTGGATGTGAGGTTCAGCTTGTCTTTGGCTTAATGTCATCCTACTGGTCAGATGTTTAGTTGGCTAGATAGGTGATG